AAAGTGTTTTGTCCAGATAAGCTCCCAACAAAATTCTGAGGGAAAGGACGTTTTATAAAAAAGGTCATTTCATGTACATAGCAAGCAGCTTTCTATGATACACCTCTCTTTCCAAAATGCTTTCCAAAGTCAACTGTTCATGCTGGCAGGTCACCCCTGCCTGTGCCCATGGTTCCAGAAACCGGGGTTGGTGCATGGATCATAAAGGGGAGACGCTCCATGTTTGGGAAGCTGGCTTGGATGCTATGGTTCTTAGAAATAACCACCGTGTTTCCCGTGTGCCCCAAGCAACCACGGCTGCCAGAACTCATGGTGGAGGATGCCTCCAGTGCCCAGACAATGGCAGCCTGTGCCCTGGAGCCTGGATTTTTGAGGTGCAGTCTGCTGGCTGTCCCCGAGTGGCCAGGGAGCCTGGGCTATCAGGCTTGGTGTCTCCAGCAATGGCTCTGCCCTCTGTGGCCTTCTCGGGTCCCTGCCACCATAGATGCCCCTCTGGGATCGTGAAGCTCGTGATTTGGGATGTCGTTGGATGGCCGCGGGAAGGGCTAACATCCATAACTGGCTGGCATCCTGTCAGCTACTCATCCGGGCCCCACAGGATGGTTAGAGTGGCAGAAGACACCTCTTCGAATGTGGATTTAAGACTTTAATGTCACGGATTTTTATGGGATCCTCAAGATGTGAAGGTGTTTGCCAAAGTTTGTTCAGTATTCAAAGAGAGCTGGAATAAAAATCTGGCTCTGCCACCTACGGGCACGTGTGACTTCTCCAAGCCTAGGACTCTTCACTGTCACATGGGAACATTAATAAACCACACTTCCCGAGGTGGTGTGAGGTTAGACGGATCAACGTGCAGACTCCCAGCCTGTGGAGGGACAGTTCAGAGGCACTTTCTATCCAGTTCCCCAGAGTCCCCAGCCAAGTTGAGGCCCAGAGGGTCCTGCTCAGCATCGCAGCCTGGGCAGCTGGCATGTCCTCCTCTGCGTCTCTCTCCTATCACTTCTTCACTTGTGCTTCGTGAAATCACCTCATAGATACACTTCTACACCGAGGTCTTGTCTCAGGCTGTTTCCAGGCTGAACCCAAACTGCGACAGGCAAGTACCAATGGTGCCCTGCACGGTGCCTGGCACATCCCCACTTGCTGCTGTTACGTGGTAGCTCTTTCTTTAAAGAGCTTCTTATTTGGTTACCAGTCAGGAAGGTAGCTGGGTGTGGCTGTCCCTCAGGCCTCAGGGACCCTGATGGAAACCAAGCCTACTGCACAAAAGCTGCCCCAGAGGAGGGCAGAAGCTGACCGGGAAGACACAGCTGAGACGAGGAGAGGAGGGCTTTTGATTGATGGATGGGTTGGTTGATTGTGGTCTACAGCTAGTGGAACGTACTTAGAAAATCGCACTGGTGCCTCCATCTCCACCCCAGACCGTCCAGGTCACCAAGTAGGGGAAGCAAGCTCCTCATTCAGCCGCCCTGCCTGCCTTGCAGGATTCACCTGATCCCTGGGAAACCTGTTTCCACAGGGAGCGTGACTGTCTGAGAGCTAGATAAAGGCCCCGGCTGTTGCCTCCCCACATGATGGCCCTTGTGCTAACAGCCCCCGGAGGATGAGTATATAGCCACCCGTAGTTTAGGATCTTCACGCTCACCTGCAGAGTCCTCCTGGCTATCATGTGTGAGGTTGTCTGCAGATGTGCATGGCTTGCAATGTTTTAGAAAGCTGTCATTATTGTTTGTCCCTATGCCACCAGGGTGCATTTCTGGGGTGCTCCTGAGAACCCGCTGTGCCTGTTGGGGAGGCCTCCCCCCTCATGTGGGTTTCTTAACAAGAGGCAGGCGAGGGGCTGAGGACTCCCGGGCTCAGCCCTTCCCAAGACGGAGTGCAAATGCTGTTGAGCTGGAATTTCCTGGGGAAAAGGCAAATATGCAGCAAAGAATTTTTCAGTTTCTGGGGTTTGCTACTGTAAGCTCCTTGTATAAAGAGGGGAAAAAATAGTTTCCTATCAACCAAGAAGCACTCTATTTATCACCACAGACCAGAATAGAACATGGGGCCCGCATTGGCAATTCAGTTTTGCTACTTTTAAGGAATTTAGTTTTGTCACGCAGCCCAGATGGAGATGTTGATTTGATTCTGGCTCCTCCTCTGTACGCTAGTTCCACTTTACTCTCTCCTTTTATCTGGACAGACCATATGTTGCCTTTCTTGCTATAAGAGAGGAGGGGGCTGGGAAGGGCCTAGACTCTGCCGCCTCCTGGCTGTCAGTGACCCTGGGCATGTCTGTTCCCCCCTCCGAGCCTCAGTGTCGCCACCTGTAAAATAATGTTCATAGTAAGCTTCCTACCCTCAGTGGGACCTTGCCAAGATCAAATGTTACAGTCTACATGAAAATGCCTTGTAAATTGTGAACCACACTCCACATGTTGGCTGCTATTCTCCCAGCAACTGGAATGGTGCTTTGTGATATGCCGGAGCGCGATAGTAACATCAATCATGAAAAGATGAAAGCTGTCCTTTTTCCAGTGGTTACTGCAATCAGGCATTGCCCTAAGCACTTGACATGTATTATATATTGTTCGTTTCTTCCCCACAACTGCCATCGAGTCAGGTACCATGCCTTCTCGTTTTACTGATGAGGAACAGGGCATCGAGAGGTGACATGGGCCGCCAAGGACACGCCGTGGTCAGTGCGATGAGTGCCAGGAACCAGGTCCTCAGGCCAGCGTGTCACCTGGAGCTGCGTCTTCCCGCGAGAAGGTGGCTGGGCCCTGCCTGTTGTCTCTGCCCCCTTACCATTCCCCTCAGAGCTTCTGTCCCCCACATGTTGGTCCCCCTGGGGAATCAACCTCAGGGGTAGTGCACATGTGCCCCACATCTGGGTCCTTATTGGATTCCCAGAACTGAGCAGGGATGTGTTTGTCATGAGCGCGGATCCGGCGTGTGGGAGGTGAGGCTGAGCGTGTTGTGGGGTCAGGCTCTTTGACTCTCACTCCTGTGCCATTGATGGAGGCTACAGAGAGGTCTCCCTGGGAGAGAGAAGGCTCGCAACGAGTGGCCAAGTGGCCAGCTTCCGGGAGGGTTGTGATGGAACCTTTCTTTCCCAGAACTTTGGCTTTTTCCTCACATACTTTGTAAAACTTTCTTTTCCCCTTAAAATCTTATCTTTCTCCCAAATCAGACTCCACATTCGCAGAAATTATGGCACTCATTTTGCCAATCAAGGGTTTTACAGACCCCCCAGTCAGGCTCTTTCAGAAGAGGCCACCTTTGGAGGTCACAGGCCATGGCGTTCCTCCCCACAGAAATGGCACAAATGCCCAGGGGACATCAGGTTGATGTCAGATGCACCCAGGTCAGCAGCCTCCCTCCTCTGGCCTTTCTGGCTGTTTTGGTTTATTGACTTCCTCGACCCGAGCGGGATACTTAGTTTTGTGAGCTTCCAGCTTATATGAAAAACGAAGGACACCCCCAGTGGCACCACCCAAGACTGTGACAGAGAGAGGACTGCCCTTGGCTGGCCCAATGTGCATTTCGTATTTTTTTTGAAGATTTAAACTTTTCTTGATAAGTATCTTTTTTTTTTTCCCTTTTGGTGACTGTAGAACAATCCAATGACTTCATTAGTTGGCACAATCTACTCGATGCTTTTGGTATTGCAGCTTGCTCTATCAAGGCCACACCAAGTATCTTTCTCCAAAGACCTGCCCCTCGTCTTGTTTTTGTCTGTCATTGAGTGACTCACTAGTTCATTCATTCATTCATTGATTCATCACCACATCTTCTATACCATATTCTAGAAATCGAACAGTGAGAAAAAGCAGACATAGTTCCTGCCCCCACGAACAGACAGCACAGGTTGCACAGCACAGGTGTGCGGAGCTGTGGTGGCGCTGCTGGTGCCTGAGCCACAGGCACGCCCATCCCTCGGCTGCGGGGGCCTTGCTGTGATTTCTCATCGCTGCTCCCTTCTCTGGAGCATTGCCCTTGTAAGGCTGTAGCTCCCACGCTCCAGCTGGTCAGTCTGTAGCCAGAGGCTAACCAGCACTAGCAAAGGGAGCCCCTTGTCTCCAAGTGGGGGTTGCGGGCTGGGGGGCACCCTGTGCAGCTCCTGCTCCAGACCTCCCCATGGGATCCGACTGTCGGACTCTTGCTGAGAAAGTGGCCTTGCTTTCCTGCTCCTTCCCCCCACTTTCTCCTTAGAGCCCTCCCTCAATACATCCCATGTACCCAAACCCCTGCGTCAGGCTCTGCTTAGAGGCAACTCGACCTAAGACAGGGGCCCGTAGAGCCCATCAAAGGAGGCACTGATTTAGGTGGGGAGTTCAGGAAATCCAGCTCCAGGAGGGGATACAGAGCTATGGTGTGCAGGATCAGCAAGGGTTCATTAGACGGAGATGAATGGAAGGGCGCTGCAGGAGGGAGAACCAGCGCACGGCAAGTTCTCGTGGGGAGGAACCATGGACTGAAGGCTGAAAGGAGGCTGGTGTTTCTGGAGCAGAGAGAGAGGGAGCACGAAGTGGGAGGAAGGTAGAGGGCCCCCGGGGCCTGAGAAGGCAGGTGTCCTGGCCCTGATAAGGAGTCTCATCACCAGCACCCCCAGGGCCTTGCAGAATGTTAGTTGGAGAAGCCCCGCATGGTGGGGAATGCTAGCTCTGGGGTCTGAAGTCTGGAGTTCTAGCTCTTTTTATCAGTTAGATGTGGTGTCACTCTCAGGGCCCAGTGAGGGCCAAAGGTACAACCACAGGGCGTTTTGCACTCTTAGAACAGTAAAGATCTGCACGTGTGCATTGTTTTATTAGGAGGGTTTATTTCCCTGAGTGTTCATAAGAGTACGCATCCTCTCTGTTAAGCAGGAGCACCTCAGAATCCAGGGTACCTCACTGGCGACAGGGGAGGCAGAGGTGGAGACGGCTGGTCTGCAGAAGGTGGTTGAGTTCTCACCACCCTGGGATAACTGTGTCGTATGTCGGAGTAAAGGCATGTCTCTCTCTCTTTCTTTTTAGGTAAAAATAGCAACAGAAAAGGCGTGAGAGCCAAGAGCTTTGAGAAGGCTGCCAGCGATGATCACAGCGTCCCCATGGCCCATGGTGATGTCAGAGAGGGTGAGTGAGGCCCTGCGGAGAGCCGCCGCCCAACCCCAGTACCATCACTGGTCCAGCGAGAGCGTTGGCCCCTGGAGCAGCTGCCACCACAGAGTCCTGTGTGTGGCTGCCCGGCGTGGGGCTGCCCGGGGCCTGCTGCCTCTTCTGAGCCATCCGTGTGGGGGTGAAAACCTTCATAGCTGCTCTCTCTTCTGCAGTGCACGGTAACTCAGCCAGATTGTCCCACCGTTTCTGAATTTTCCGGAGCTCCTGGTTACCTTCCCTGCCCCTCCCCCTTCCTCCTTTCTAGGGGGCCTCATAGCTGCCCCCAGCCTCGGCTGTGCAATTCTTATCTCCCAACCAGACCCAGGGGCCCCCGGGGTCAGAGAGTAAGTTTTCAAACACTTACAAAGCTTAATGATCCTAGTCTTGGCCTCTTACTGCCATGTAAAAATATTGGTCCTTTAATTACTTACCTTAGGATGACTGAAGCCATTAGTCCTAGACTCATAGGCAAACTCTGATCCATTAGTGATAGTTATTATTATTATTGACTAATTACCATTATTAGCATTTATCTCTGTTACTCTAAACTATAGTATCTAGGATCACACTTCCGCTAATATTAGTAATAGTAACCATTTATTAAGCACTTGAGCTCTCAGTAGTTGCGAGACAATGGGCCTCACATTTTGACATCTTCCAACGCCCCTGTGAGTATTGTGGATATTATTATTATTATTAGCACATTATTCATATTTTACAGATAAGGAAAATGAGATTTGGTGATATGAGTCATTTGCCTATGGATATGCAGCTTGTAAGTGGCAAAACAGGGATCTGTACCCAATATTTTCTGATTCTAGACTTTCTGCTCAGCAGTACAGCTGCTTAAAATAAAAATGGCATTTCTCAAATGTGCATTTACAGAGGCAGGACCTGTTTCAGTGGCCATGCGAGCCCATATACCGTGTAACAGAGTTGATTGTCACCAAGGGAGTCGCGTGTTCCCTTAGGCACAAGGGAATGATTTGGGGCTGTGTTTCTAACTAAGGACTCGCCGTCAAAGAGATCCTAGCTATGACTAATAGTGAATTGTAAAATACAAACAGGAGTTCAAGCAAAAACGAACCTCTGCAATCACTTAACAAAAGAGAATGGCATTTCATCTTCATGTGGGCAGGTGTGTACTCTGCCATGGCCATCGAGAGGACCTAGCACATCAGAAGGGCGTGCTGAGGACACCCGAGATGCTGGGGCTGTGTTTCTGCATCTCTGTGTTTCTAAATGGGTGGTCATATGACTCCCTCCCTTGGGTGGGCCTCGCATGACTTTTTGTCCCCTACTCCCAGCAGGCTGATAATAAACCAACTGTTCCCTCAGGCTGACAAATGCCACGGGGCTAACGCAGCGTCCAGTGCTGGCCCCCCTCTCTGGGCTCTTGCTGCCATCAGATCTGGGCCTGGAAGTTCTTCACTGTCTTCTTAATCCTTAAGTACTTTAAAACACATTTAAAAAAATATTTTGTCGGGCCGGCCGAGTGGTGCGATGGTTAAGAACTCGCTTGGGATGCCAGAGGGCCCCGGTTCGGATCCCACATATGAGGGCCAGTGACACTGCCCTCTACAGCTAAGATGCTGAACAACAGCTCAACCTGGAGCTGGGCTGCTGTGAGTCGCCGGCGACGGCGTGGGCTGCAGTCCCTGTGGCAGTGGGTTACCATGGGCTACCGTGTGTAGCCAGCAGCCAGCGTGAGCGGCCAGCAGCCGCAGTGAGCGGCCGTCCAGAAACCGGCGACTGATCTGCCTTACCCGGGAAGAGCGCAATGATGGTGCCAACTTGGGCCAGTGAAGCAACATCCTCCACAACTAGACTGAAGAACAAAACAACAGCAACTTGTCTGTCCCCCTTCCCCCAATTCCCCAGCACTGTTCCCATCCCCCCAATTCACCAATAAAAATCTTTAAAAAAAATATATATTTTGTCTAGGTTTTTTTTTAGTGGCTTCAGCAGAAGTGTTACCTTAGTTCCTTATTACCAGAATCAGGAGTTATTGAAATTTTGGGAGGTATTTTCAGAAAGATTTTTCAATGCCCATTTCACTATACATATGCATGCACCTGTGCACGCACACACACATGTGCACACGTATACACTTATGTCTGAACTTGCCTCCTGGTCTGCCACAGGTACACACCCCCTCTCCCACACTGGCCTACTTAAAATTGTTTCACTGACCTTGACCTAAGAGCTCTTCCTAAACGGGTTGGGATCACTGGCCTCAAAAACAACCATTGTCTGTCTGATTCCTTGAATGCTCTTTGGCCTGTGAAACTTCTGTACATTGCTTTTCTGTTAAACCAGAATTGAGGAATTGAGGACAACCCTGGTTGGAAGAGAAGCTGTGGAGGTCCCTGATATGCAAATATGGAAGGAAGAGAGATGATGGTGGCCATGGAGGTGTTCACGGAGGCAGGTGGCACAGCAGTTAGGAACACAGGCCTGGGTCAGGCGGGGGTGCCTGTGGGTGGTGCTGGGCAGCACGGGGCCTCAGATGTACAGCTGAGTACTCTCTAGAGCCTGTGTTCATCCTCCTCTCAGCACCTCCTCGGTTGAACTAGGGGGCCTTGCTGGAGATGTGGTAGAATTAAAGGGTTAGGGTGGAACAGATGTCACCTACATCGTGTCCAAGGTAGCAGATGGAACAGTTGTCAACTACACCTGTGCAAAGTGGCAGATGGAGCCAATGTTACTTACTTTGTTTTCAAGGTGGTGGGTGGTGCAGTTATTAACCACATTGAGCTATGTGAGTAGATGACATCAGAGAGCTTGTGTCAGATGAGGACTTCACCCCTGGAGAACTTTTGCTTTGAGGAAGAGGCTATGTCCAGACTAAGGAGCAGTGTCAGCTGTGGCAAGTATCCAAAATACATCTTGGATATTGTTCTGTAATAGTATATGCAGGTGGTTGGACTATTGGTCTAGGTCTTCATCTCTCTCTATGTTCATATCCTTTGCCATGTAACGTCAGTTCCCTTCACAAAATGTGAAAGTCCCTTGACTTTGGACTGGTCCATGTGCCTTATTGTGGCTAATAGAATATTAGAGGTCCTAAGAGGCTTTGCTTGTTTCCACTCGCTTCTTGTACCTCTGCCATGTCCATGAGAAAAATGTGTGCACCTAGGCCACTGGTCCAAGGATGCTGAGAGATGAGTGGAGCCAAAACAGCCCCTGCAGCCTGGAGCCACCAGGTGAGCCCAGCTGATCTGCAGACACCTAAGAAATGCATGCCGATTGTGTGCCACCTTTGTGGTTTGTGGTTGCTTGTTACATAGCAGTAGCTGACTAATACAGCGAAGACAAAGAAGATCCTCATTTTTTAAAAGGTTGCATAGCATTCTATTAAAGAGATGTCCTAGAATTTATTTAACCCCCTCATGATGGAAATTTAGGTGGTTCCCAATAGTTTGCTACTATAAGGTCTTACCATGGAATTACCATATGCCCGTGTCCTTGGTAGCACAATAACTCCCTATTTGGCATTCAGAGCCCACCATGATTTGACTCATTTCTGCCTCTGCCTCCCTTTCTTTCCAGCCAGATGGGGGCTTGTTTCTCACACATGTCCTGTGCTGAAAACATGGCTTATGTGTTTCCTCTGTAGGGACCTGGACAGGCATCAAAGTTGCTCATCGAGAGAACAGCTTTGGGTCAGGCTGTACCCTGTGAGACTCTGGGCAAATTACTAACTACTCTATGACTCAGTTTCCTTCTCTGTAAAGTGGGGATAATATTCCTTTACAGAGTTATTGTGAAGCTTAAATGATTTGTAGCACACACAGTAAGCCCTCAGCAAGCACTGGCTATGATTTTTATTTGCTATCTTGGAATTTTTCTGTGCCTCAGTTACAGGAGTTGGCAGACATTTTTAAAGGATCAGATAATAAGTATATGCTTTACTGGCCAAGAAGCAAAATTGAGGATATTATTATGTAGGTACTTAAATAACCATTTAAATTGTAACTATTAAAAAATACAGAAAACATTTTTAAACTGTGGACCATACAAATGCAGGTGGTGGGCTGGATTTGGCCCTTACACGATCTGTGGCTTGCCAAGCCCTGCCTTAGAACTTCATGGTTCTGCACATGCTGCCTCCAGGAAGCCTGCCCTGACCACCTGTCTCCCGCTTTCCTTACTTATGGTCTGCATCCCTCCCTCTCTCCCATCATAATGATGCTTACACCTGGCTCTTCTGTTCTGGGAGGCGATGGATGCTGAAGAGCAGGGCCCCCGTCTGACCCGTCAGGATGTCCCCAGTGTTGGCAGCAGCACTTGACACAATGGTAAACTTGTTTATTGAGCACCTGCGCTGTGCCAGAGCTAGTGTTCTGGGGCACAAAACAGGTGTCCTCTGTATGTTCAAGTGGATTCTCCATGACTAGACCTCAGGTCTAGCCCTCCACAGGGAGCGCTCTTTGATCTGTAGGAAGGAAGCACGAATACCAGCCATCGTGGAAGTAGGATGATTTTCTGAAAGCCATACATGCTGGTGACTAGGAATGCCCTTGGTTCTTCCCCCTCGTGCCTGGGCTGGGTGAGATTTGAGGGCTGAGGGCTCAACCAGGTACCATGCTTGGGGATTGCTCTATGTGTGTGTGTGTGTGTGTGAAACTTGAGGGTTTTCATTGGATCTCACATGGTTTGGTTTTCATCCAAGCCCTTGTTGTGAGTATCTCCCCATTGTTGCATGGCTAGATGGTTCTCGGGCTCAGCTCTGCTCTTCTCGCAGACATCTGGCACAGCTGTTGAGGGCCGTGGTGCAAATCCCAGACTCTCGATTCTGGGGGAGGAGTGGCTGACATGCTCTTGGTTGCCCTGACAGATGCTATGATAAATGGCCACATCTGTATTTCAGGCTTCTTTGGAAATGAGTGGAGGCACAAGGGGCAGATTGGGGCAGGGTCACAGCCTCTTGGACAAACCCTTTCAGGAAACCTGAGAAACGTGGACACAGGAAA